GGAGTTCAAGCAACCGATAGAGGAAGTGGCCGACTGGGATGACCGTCATAGAACGGCAACATGGCAAAGTGCTTCAGACAGGGTTTTAAAAGAGTCTCGACAGCTTGACAGTAAAAAGGTAGCAGTGGTTTCAATAATAGGCTTTAACAAAAATATGTTAATATATGCCTAGAAGTTACCTTTAAAAGGTACTTTTAACCTGAGCCTCTTTTAAAGCGTATTTATATTTTATGAGTATAATTGTATATATCTATAAATGTGTGTGTTTTAGGAATGTATAAGGTTCATTATAAAGAGTGATTTGCCATTCTTAGTATTCTAATGGAAAGCTAGTAAAGCCTTAGAAATTTGGCTTTTCAAGAATGTCATTTTTATGGCCTATCCAACATGGGAAAAACTGCTGATGTGACAGTTGTCCAAGAGATTGTCATTGACAAATGGAAAGTAGATTGGAAGTACAAGGCTGCTAGGAAAAGGGGGCACAACAGAGATAACAGCAGCCTTGATAAATCATTGAGAAATTAGAAAAGATTCATAATGCAAGGACTGTAGTTACAAGTCAACATCTACTACATGCTGAAATATACAGGAAGTGGACTACATGTCACACCGTCTCTCCTGAACCAGAGACAATAACATTAAAATACAATAATTCTCCTTTTGAATGAAAATAAATGTTACATACCATGTAGAAATGAAGGTCCCAGATTTCATAAACTCAGGCAGTAACACAAGTTGATCGCCTTCAGATCAACTTGTTGCAAGGAAGTGCCAACCAAGGATAGTATAGTACATATACTATACAGTAAGTACTCAGACATCCTTTTCATTTGGCAGAATCTGTTTCATTTATTTTTTTGATGGTATTATGTAGCTAATGTTCAAACCTTAATTATGAACAGAAATAAAAACAAGAAACTGATTTTTGTTTGTAGTTGCAAGGCATAATTGTTAAAATTAACAGAAACAAAGGCTCTAAATATCACTTTGTAAAAAAAAAAAATCAATAATATACAGTATGAGTTTCTTGTTTTTTAATCCACTGAAAAAGTATATCAGTTCATCTCTTCATATCCAGGTATATCCAGGTTCATCGCTTTTTTATTTAAAGAGATGAACCTGGACATAGTTTAGATTCGCTAACTAATTTGCCTGCTTGCTTTCAGGTGATGGAGACGAATCCTGAACCTCTCTGTTCTGTGGTTGAGGGCTCTCAGTGGAGTCTGGATTTGGAAATCAGGGCAATTTGTGATTTCTCAAAGTTCAGCTGCAGCAGCAGCAGCAACATCCAGTTTAAAGACACCATGCTTTTCCAAACCGAGCTGCACCAGTAAGTCAGAATGAAACACTGTCAGCCAGTACATTATGTCTGAGAATACTTGTGTGCCATATGCATTTTTGACTCTCATGCTTATTCAAAAGTTAGAGACCAAAAATATTTTAATAATCTTCTAAAGTGGTCTCTCTTATTTGTCCAAAATCATTTTCATGACCCTAACATATGCTTTTTTTTGTCCCAGCTGGAAGTGCTTGATTTCCGACAAAAGAAAATGAAGCTAGGATGTCTAACATTGGGTGAAAAAGTGAACAAACAGGTCGTCCTAGCCAATGACAGCCTCCTTGACCTTTCTTTCAATTTGATACTGAACTCCGATCCTTCTCTAGATCTAAAGGTAAGCACAACACAAACGCTATCAACTTTTAAACTGGAGTCCACTGAAGCCAGACTTAATAGTTGCCTTCCTGCCACCAGGACCTGACTGTCAGCCCATTAGGCGAGATGAAGCTGAAATCTTGTGGAGGCTCCTGCAAGCTGCAGATTCAGTTTTCACCTCAGCAGCACATTGCTCCTTTTTCTGTCGCTCTGCAGGCCGAGTTCAAAGGGTTCTTCCACTACCTGCTGACCATTGAGGGCTGTTACAAGGTTGGCTGGAATCTGCCCTCACAACCATTACGGTGTGTACAAGAATATTCCCTTAGCGAATTATGTATTGCGATGTTTTTGTTCAAGAAATATTTGGTAGTAATTTATAATTTAAAAATACCAGGGGGTGGATGTCCATTTAGACTGCAGCCGAGTGTCTTTTGGAGCTATGGTCCAAAACTGCCAGACGAACAGGAGGATTGTCATGATGAACGCTAGTGACACTACTGTCAGGTAATGTTGAATAGCAGCATATCCCACTGTATTTTTATGGAATCAGCACATCCCCAAACACCAACTTTGGTTGGCTTTATTTTCTTCCCCCTGTTTTGCTTCGGTTCACTGAACTTCCAGATTTCATTGGCAAACCCAAGGGTTCCCTGCAGAGTTGTCGATCAGACCAGTAAAAGGATATATCTGCCCAGGCAAGAACTTTCCCTTTGAAGTGACCTTTACCCCTGTGAAGCTCAGTGACGACATCAGATACGAGAACCTGTCCTGCATCATCGACGGTTCCCCACTTATTAAATTGACGGTCACAGGTTCCTGCGTCCCACCTTCCATCAGCAAAGAGGTTAGACTGAACTCTCTCTTTACATACAAATATAAATGTTTCATGTCTTTAAAATAATTACTGTTAATACACACTTTGGTTATTAGTTAAAGGATAAGGAAGTTTTTTGGTTCCAATCTTTCCTCATGATTGCTGATTTGAAGTCACATTTCTAAATAGGATATTGAGTTAGTTTCCTTGTAAAGCATTTTAAAGTAAATATGCTGTTTATTAATGCTTAAAAACAAAGTTGAATCTATCAGATTTAATTATATTTTTCATGTAATATTGCAGATAGATCTGGGCTGTAAAAAAAATGATACAAACTTACATTTAGACTGATTTTTTTTTTGGAGTATTTTTCCTAAAAGCTGCCATGTCAGTTGCTTTTTCCTCATTGTGTAAATGGTTAAAACGGTAGCTCCATATAATGTAATTGACTTGTCTCATTTGGTTGACTCAGGAGCTTCTGACAGATTTAAGGATTTCTACAATTTCTTGCAGTTAGATTTAATTAACTGAGTACCCCTAAAGTCCTGCATC